ATCGGCACACACACACACACAAAACGAACCCACCGACCCCTTTGACTTACGTGAAGGCAGGCGCTTGGGTTGCTCCTGCTTCCTCCTGGGCATTTTGTCCCCCTTATGGTTCCGATCTTGGAGAGATGGCTCGGAGAAAAGGGGGGGTTATCCAAGTCGATCACATTCTCCGAGATGGTAAAAAAATCAAAGAAGAAGGGGGGGATCGGTGCAGATCTAACGATCGGAGCGGCTCTTGCGGGTTCCCGGAGTCAGGGGAGCTTGGTCGTTGCACCTGGCTTGTCCTCCCTTTCACCTCCCTCCCCCAGCCGTAATAAATATTCTTCAATGGGGGGATCTGATCTATATGTGTGCTGTGCATGGAAGGGCTACATCATGATGAGGAAGCTTGTGCTGCCGCCGTGTCTGTGGCTGCTCCCTGTGTGTCTTCAAGCCCCTAACACTATTGCAAGGATCAAAGGGCAGCAGTGGCGGCGGTAGAGCACGCAGACACACACACACACACACGCACATATGGAGGGGCAGCCTCCCAGTCTCAGACATACAGCAGACAAGCTCACAGCCAAGGCTGGGTCACAGTGCAGAGCTGCCCTAGGCTCTCTCCTCCTCCCCTTGCACTTTGCACACCCTGCTCCCCTTCAGCTCCTGTAGGGAGGAGGTAAGAGATGTGCAGAGACTGCAGCACAAGCCACTCTTCAGAATAATGCCATTGATAAAGCAAAAGCTCTGTGCTTTTTAAGCAAAAAGTTGGAGCGTTTTTTTTGTATCCCCCTTCTTACCACGTTTTCCACTAACCATTTAGTTTGATCAGCTTCTCTGTTTGGTTCGCGGACAGTTCGGCCGGATGGGGATTTGGAAGGTATCAAATGTGAACCCCATTAAAAAATGATGTTGGGTTTTTTGGGGGCGTCTGCTACAGCAGGCAAATGCAACATTGCATTGGATGACCACCACGTGTCTGAGGGACGTGTTGCTGTTTAAAAAAATTAAGGGGACAAATGTGTACAGCGGTGGAGGCGACATGGGAAAGGCGCACATTCTTCAGTTTACAGCTTTGTGTTTAGGGGCCCATTCACACCTGTGTGCCTCGGTGCACATTTTGAGGCAGAGATGCTCAACATGATAAATCCCATTATTTTTAGTGGTTCCCATTCACATATGAGCCTTTTAGTGGTACCCATTCACATCTGGGCCTTTTAGTGGTACCCATTCACATCTAAGCCTTTTAGTGGTATCCATTTACATCTAAGCCTTTTAGTGGTACCCATTCACATCTAAGCCTTTTAGTGGTACCCATTCACATCTGAGCATTTTGTCATGTGTTTCAGAAAGTGCAGCATGATATTATGTGGTGCCAATTCACATCTGAGTGTGTTTCCTAAAGCACAACTAAACTCAACATGAGGAACCCCATTATTTTTAGTGGTGCCCATCCACATCTGAGTGTACTGTTGTGTCTTTCCTAAAGTGGAGCAAAACACAACATGAGGAATCCCATTATTTGTAGTGGTGCCCATCCACATCTGAGTGTGTTGTGTGTTTCCTCAAGTGCGACAACACTCAACGTGAAGAATCCCATTATTTTTAGTGGTGCCCATCCACATCTGAGTGTGTTGTGTGTTTCCCAAATGCAGCAATGCTCAACATGATGAATCCCATTATTTTTAGTGGTACCCATCCACATTTGATTGTGTTGTGTGTTTCCTAAAGCGCAACAACACTCAGCATGAGGAATCCCATTATTTTTAGTGGTGCCCATTCACATCTGAGTGTTTTGTTGCACGTTTTCCAAAGTACAACGCCGCTCAGCATGAAGAACCCTTTACACCTGAGCGTTGTGTCTCATGAACTTTTTGTGGCAGAATAATGTTTTTGGCTCCATACACTTCAGTGGGAGTGTCTGCAAAATGTTGGTAACGTGTGTTTTTTTGCTCCTAATAATCGTCTCCTCCTCATAGTAACTAGCTTTCCATTGGCTAAAACAAAAACACTGAGGCCTAAAAATGCACAAAAGAGCTTCAAAATCACCTGAAAATGTGTGAATGGGGGCTAAGGGTCATTTCTGGGACTTCCAACAGGGACACCCAACATTGGCAGCACACATTTTTCTGTATATGAATACTTTTTTTTTTCAAGCTCCTTTGCACACAACATCAGCACCAGCCCAAAATGATGTAAAAGAAATCCAGTGAAATTAAAAGGCTTTTCTCTTGTAGTATGCTCTAAAAAAAACAAAAACCTAGTTCAACATTGTCAGTGGGCAGAAAGGTTGTTCTCTTAGTAGTTGTAAGAAGGATAGCGAGCCAAAAGCAGAAATGGACCTAGCAGTAGGCATCTGTCATGGCAACCACAAATTAGAGCTTAAAGTGACATTAAACCCTCAGATTTTTTAACATATAACAATACTGTAATGTGTGCCTTACTGTAATCCATGGTCGTTTCCCTTTTCTATGCGGCTCTCCCTTTTAAATCCTTATCTCTTCTCATGCTGGGGGAGAACTTCCCTTTGCAGTGCAGCTGAGTGCCTCTTCCTGTAGTGCTGGCTCAGGTTGTGAACCTGCACATAGACACCGTGTATGCATTCCAGAGACAAGGCAGTCTGCTGCAAAACAGAAGTTCTGCCCAGCATGAGAAGAGATAAGGATTTAAAAGGAAGAGCAGCAAAGAACCGCACATGAATGGCAGCACCGATAAGCCTGAAAGGTCAGGCAGAAGGCCCCTAAGGGTGTCTTCCAAATAAAGGAAATACAATTTCAGTCATTTATGATGAGCTCTTTTGTTGTGTTTATTTTGTGTATTTCTTTATTTATTGTTTTTCATTGTGTTGGGGGACAGGAGAAGGTGGTGGGTTGGAAGTAGACCAGAAATGACCACATAATGTGGCTGCTACCTAATTGCCTTGTTGTCTTGGGCCCCTGTTGTTTTGGGGCACCTTGCTCCTTTGCTCAGCAGCTCCTTCCTCATCTGTGCTGATCCGTGCTATAAATCCATGTTGCCTCAACCATTTTGTCATCTACCACGCCCCACCACCACCACTTGTCTTATAAAGGTGTTGTCATTTAAAGGCACTTTTTCCCTGCCTGGTCCCATGTAGTGTAACTGCAGAAGAAGAAGGCCCCACAAAGCAATAACCTGCTGAGAGTGGATGTTAAATAAATGTTCCCAAATCTGTAGCACTCACTTCCTCCCTACCTGGTCTAACATAGTGTATATGCAATATGATAAGCCCCACCACACAAAGCAATGAACAGTAAGGATGGTTTACAACACAGCTATACAATACTAGTCTCTGCCCAATGTGTCCCACCTGTACTAAGGCACAGCTGGGGGGTTGGAGTTGCCCACCCCTGTTCTATACAGTAGCATCTACAGGATATTAGGACTACAGGATACAAATCCCAACATGTCACTGCCTCTGGGAGTCATGTCTTTGACTGTCAGTCTTGCAATGCCTAATGGGACTTGTAGTTCCGCATCAGCTGGAGGGCTGGAGTTTGCCCACCCCTGCTGTAGAATATGCCCAACACAGCAGTAGAAATCGGTTACTGGCTGCTCTGTGCCTTGGAGGAGGAGGTAGTTTGAGGAGAGGGATAAACTTATGTTGGGATTGAACCTGAGCTTCTCTGAAGAAGGAAGTAGCATGGGCACTTCCACCCAATCAGCTGTGGTCCGGGCATTCGCTGCCCTGCAGCTGCATGTAAACAGAAGTATTTGTATTGTATTTAAGGTTGAATAAAGATGCAGGTCAATCAAGTTCAACCTCTGTGTGTCTGTATGTGATTGTGCATGTGTGTGTGTACACGAGCCCCTGTGTGGTCTAGCTTTTAAGTGTACCTGTATCCCTGTCTGTTACGGTCTCTGAGGAAGGTATCTAAATGCTTTTTGAATGATTCAATACTCTCTGCTGATACCACCGCTTGTGGCAGCGAGTTCCAGACATTAACCACTTTAACTTAAAAAAAGCCCCTACGCCCCTTGTGGTTAAATCTTTTCTCCACCAGTTTTAGGTGGTGGCCTCGAGTCCTTGTTAGGGAGTTTACCATAAACAGTTTATTGCTGATGTTGCCATCACCACTAAACATTTTGTACATCAAAATCATGTCCCCTCTTAATCCCCTCACTTCCAGTGTGAACAAGTTTAACTTAAGTAACCTTGTCTCATAGCTTTGGTCCTCCAGCCCCTTAATTAGTAATTTCATAATGTCATTTACTAAACATAGGCATGTGGCCATATAAGGTCAATGATGTCACAGAACTCTGACCCTTTGCATACGTCAAGCTGCCGGCATGGAATTCCCTGCCTGCAGCTGATTGGGCAGCATGGGAGTAGCTCCTTCCGGGTTGCAAGGTTTGGACTGTGGTTGTAAGGGACAGCCAACACCATGTATAAGATATGGCAGGCCTGTCTGTAAAGCCCTATGACAAGTTGCATGTGCTCTAGCTAAATGAGGAGCCAGTTTCCCCTGTCCCCTATCACCCCCATGCCTATTAACACTGCTCCTTCTTTTTGGTCTGCCTGAAAAAGACTAATTGTCCCAAAAAGACAACAAGCACATACCTATACATATAAGTAAGGTACTTTAAAAAACGTACAATCTGCCTATCTTGCATAGGCAGATCGTACTTGCGATGATCGCAAGCCACGCCCCGAGGGGCGGGCTTCCGATGACCGCAATGCCGAACGGGCAGTGTGCGCTTGCGCACACCGGCACGTCCGGCTTTTATCTTACGAACATGCTACACACCCGCCGAACATCGTACGATGCGTGGCGGGTTTTGAAACATGTTCGTAAGTTGAAAGTCGTGCGACCTTGCAGTAGTAGAGGTCGCACGGCTTCCACACACCTTACGATAATCGCACGATCGCGGGATTTCCCGTGATTATCGTACGATTATCGTAAGCTGTGTGGTGACCTTTAGTGTTGAATGAGTAAGAAAAATAGGATGGCCACCAAAAGTTGTGTACTTTATATTTTTTATGACAGTCTCCCTTCTTAAATGGATAAAATGTGTGATTACAAATATACGCACACTAAGTTGTTGTTTTTTTTGTCTTTTTTTTTTTTTAGGAAAGTAACAACGTTGAAATGACAGGCGAAAGGTAACTAGGCAAAATTTTGCAGTCTAGCTGCCTCCCGGTAATGATCTGATATAAGGGCCCAGTCACACAATAAAGAGTGCGTTCCAATGCGCTCAGGCTCTGGAACACAACACGGCAGGCTCACTTTGTTTTGGGGTGGGAGGGGGCGTGGCGGTGCATTGATGTCCCGCAGTCTGATCGCCAACATCCCACATTAGTGCCTGTATTCCGGTTCAGTGCAATCTGCAAAAAATGCTGCATGCACTATTTTTTGCAGATCGCACTGGATCTGAACGCAGGCACTAATGTGCCACGTGTTCGGGTGGTGGCGGTGCCGCCACGCCCCCTCCCACCCCAAAATAAAGTGAGCCAGCCGGGTTGTGTTCCAAAGCCCGAACGCACTGGAACGCACTCTTTATGGTGTGACTGGACCCTAAATGCTGTAGCAAAGTCCCAGAGCTCATAGTAATGAACAGTTACAGTAGTTTACAGATGTTTAATATACTGCAAATGCAGAGTAATAAGCCCCACAGCACAAAGCAGTGATAATGAACAGTTAATTAAAAAAAATATATATATTATATCAATCATATTTTGATGTTTCAGTGGAAA